GGGCTCAAGTAGAAAGAAAATGTTTTGAGAATGATGATAGCAACAAATGTACAAATGTGCTTGACACAACGCATGGCTGTATGGATTGCGAAAGGAGTTGTATGAGCCTCCAATAAAATGATTTAAAACAAAACAAAACGAAAAAAGAGTAAGTTCTGAGCCTGAGATAAAAGGCACTAGGCCCCAAATGCAACCAAAGCCCAAGAGGCTGCTCAAGCTACTGCAACAAACCCCCCTCCCAGAATTTGCCTACCATGGGAACAGAGGGCTCTCCACTGTCCTTCCAGGGAGCTGCAGTTGCTGCATTCATAGATGCCCATGAAGATGGTGAGGGAAATCCCAGCTCCCCTCAGGCCAGTAGAAGCCTCAACAAAGATCCTTTAACAAAGAAGGTGGTCTTGTGGGTGATGCACCTGATGGAGAAGAATCAATTGAGAGAGCCAGTTACGAAGGCAGACATGGAGGATTCTGTTGTCAAAGCATACAAAAATCACTTCCCTGAGATCCTCAAGAGAGCCTCTGTGCTCCTGGAGCTGGCTTTTGTTGTTGACCTGAAGGAAGGGGATCCCTTCTGTCACTGCTGTGCCTTTATCAGCAAGCCGGATTTCAGCGTGGTGAAAGGATTCTCCATGAAGACAGCATGCCCCCGACTGGCTTGCTGATGATGGTGCTGAGTGTGATATTCCTGAAGGAGAACTGTGCCTCTAAGGAGGAGGTTTGGGAGGTGCTGAATATGATGGGGGTATATTCTGACAAGACACACTGCATCTATGGACATCCAAAGAAAGCCCTCACCCAAGATTTCATGCAGCTGAAGTACCTGGAGTACCAGAAGGTGGCCAATAGTGATCCCCCACGCTATGAATTTCTGTGGGCCCAGAGTCTATGCTCAACTCACCAAGATGAAAGCCCTGGAATTCTTGGCCACCATCAGTGACACCTCCCCCAGTGCTTTATCACCCTGGTATGAAGAGGCTTTGTGAGAGGAGGAGGAGAGGTTGCAAGCCAGAATCGCAGCCAGGGCTCGAAACAGCGCAAGAGCAGCAGAAACCCCTGCCCCAAGTGAAAGCTAACATAACAATAATAATCCTTCCCTTTTTGATTCAAAGAGTCTGGCAATACTCTAATAGTGGAAAGTCAGGTCACAGTTGGAGAAAATAATATATATATTATATATAATAATATAATATTATATAATAGTAAAATATATAATAATACAAAATTGTGTATATATATATATATATATCTTTTAATTCCTGTTTTACATGTATAACTTGGAATTTTACTTTCATTCCTCCTTTTAAGGAGAAATTTCAAAAGCCGTGGTCTGTGGCAGATTTAAAAAAAAATAATTTTATTAGGGGCTCATACAACTCTTAGCACAATCCATCCATACATCAGTTGTGTAAAGCATATGTGTACATTCATTGCCTTCATCATTCTCAAAACATTTGCTCTCCACTTAAGCCACTGGCATCAGCTCCTCATTTTCCCCCTCCCTCCCCACTCCCCTCTACCTCGTGAACCCTTGATAATTTATAAATTA